TCTGTCTGTCTCTCCCCCTCTTCCCCCCTACCCCTCCCAGTCCTACTTTTTTTTTTACAGGCCTTGCACAAGCTTGATCAGTACTCTATCAGTGAGCCATATCTGCATCCCCTTTTATTTCCTTAGGGAATAATTTTAACCTTGTGCTGACAAAATAGCTTTTAAATGGGCCACACTTTTTCAGGGGGTGAGTGGGAGTAAGGATTGAACCTAGGCATTCAGTCTACCACTGAGCTATATCCCCAACCCTTTATTTTATTTTATTTTATCTTAGTCTTTTTGAGACAGGGGCTCACTGTGCAGTTCAGGCTGGCCTTGAGCACACTTTGCAGCCCAGGCTTGTCTTGAACTGGCAATGATCCTCTTGCCTCAGCCTCCTGAGTGCTGAGATTACAGGCATGCGCCACCACGCCTAGCTCAGGCTGGCCTTTAACTCACTTTCTGGCCTGGACTGGCCTAGAACTCCAGCGATCCTTCTGCCTGAGCCTCCCGAGTGCTGGGATTATAGGCCTGCGCCACCACCTGCCGGGTTTACCTCTCTGTTTGCAAACAAAAGATGATAACATGAAATTATTTGTATCTTTTCAACTAATGATACTGTTACATATCACGCTACAAAAACTTTATCCATCTTGGGTTTTTTTGACTGCAGTCATTTCCATTGCTTCACACTTGACAGAATAATGTCCTGGTCATAGTCATTGCCTGTCTGTGTCTGTTTGTCTCCTGAGGCTTGAACCCACAGCCTACCAGAGTGCTGGGATTACAGTGCCCCGCCTAATAATATTCCTTATAGCCCCAAAATTAGTAAAAGTAAGGTCCAAGCAAACAGAACCAAGCTCAGATGCTACATTGTCTTCACTTTTTTGGCCTTTTTGAGACAAGGTTAAACCAAGCTCAGATGCTACATTGTCTTTACTTCTTTCTCTCTTTTTTTTTTTTTTTTTTTTTGCCTTTTTGAGACAAAGTTTCAGTGTGCAGTTCAGGCGGGCCTCTAACTCCTCTAATCCTGCTGTGATTATAGGCATGCGCCACCACATCCAGCCTTGTCTTCACTTCTTTGTAGTCTTTTAATCTGGAATGGTTGCTTGTTGTTTCATCACATTGATGTTTTTGAAAAGGAGAAGTACAGGATACTTCGTAGAAACTTTCTCAAATTCCACTTGTCTGATCTTTCCTCATGGTTAGATTTGGGTCATGCACTCTGGGCCGGAACACTGAGGCAGCAGAGCTTTTTTCTGTGTTATACCAGCACTATGAATCCCGGCACTCATGAAGCTGGGCTACATAGTGAGACCTTGTCTCAGGGTAGAAAAAAAAAAAGAAAGAAAGAAAGAAAGAAGAGAAAAACATTTTTTGTCTTTTTGGGACAGGATCTCGCTATGCAGTTCAGGATGGCCTTGAGCTCACTTTGTAGCCCAGGCTGGTCTTGAACTTGCAATGATCCTCCTGCCTCAGCCATTATCCCATTATATTGACTTGGATTTATTTCTCTGCTGAAAGTTACTGTATTCTCCTTTGGTAATTAAGTAACTAATGCTGAGATACTTTGAAACATTGCAGATACTGTATTTCGTCAGCTTGCTTGCACTAGCATTCATTGATCTTCATGTCTGATTTTTCTGTTCTGATGGATGCCAAATGTTGGTCTTCTCTAAAATTGTTTTTCCATGTTGATACTGACTTCTGTAAGGGTGTTTTTCTTTTCCTGTATCTCTTTGAGGCCATAGACTTTCTTTTGCCCTTTTTTGAGACAGGTTCTCACTATACAGTTCAGGCTTGCCTTGAAGCTCACTTTGTAGCCCAGGCCGGTCTGGAACTCCCAATAGTCCTCCTGCCTCAGCATCCCGCATGCTGGGATTACAGGTTTACAGGCTTGCACCACCTCGCCCGGCTAAAGAAAGCCTCCTTGATATTTGTTCCTTTTAACTTTAATGAGCTTGCTAGTTATGGTTGTTGAAGTGACTCTGCCCCAACACTACTG